CTACACGCGTGACCGTAACCGTCGGTTGAAGGTTGCATACTGACCTGACACACTGACCCGACCCAGTTCTGTCGTCGGGTTGAGCCAGTGACCTTGTACCAGTCGGTGATGTCGCGGCTACAGGACGGTATTCAGATATTTTTGATGTTGCAGAGCCCTTTATCTCGGTTCCCTTAAGACATTGGTGTATATGGTACTAAGAAAAATTGCTTATGTTTTCAAGATCTACACGTCGTGTAAAGGAAAACCCCAACTTTGCGGACACCCTGTATATGAAGCATACGTACGCTAGAAGAACTCAAGTGTAGCCCTTAGCGCGTTGAATAACAATGCTTTAAAATAAACTAAGCCTAACATTCAAATAATGATTTTTAATCGAGTTTTAGCCATTGAAAATGACCATTTTTTGGATTTTTCAGACTTCCAATCGCTCATAACTCGAAAAGGGGCAATTTCAGAGAATGTTGAGAACTTTTTTCATGAAAAGGTAGCAAAAACATATCTGCTGCGAAAAAAACAATTTTTATGTAATTTTGTTCAAAAAATTGCACCAGGTTTATTATCTGTTGATTCGTGTGAAGTGTAAGGGGTCATCCAATAAAGATTATTATGAAAAAAGAAGTCTATATTCAGTTTAAACCTACCTGGCTTCCGCGTAATCTATCGAATTACAGACTCGGTCATGTATCTCCTTGTATAGTTAAGTATGTACTCATTTTCTATTTGTATTACTAGGAAGACATTATTAACGATTTCAATAATTATTCCTTTTTTTTTTTTCGGAAAAGCACACCTGTTCGAGCAGCGCTATCGAGAGGTTACGCTTTCTGATTTCCCGTTTGAGTGAATCACATCTAACCGGCAACGTCAAGCGGCTTGCAAGTGTTTTTATGCATGTGCCAATGCGAATTCGTTGTACTACTCTAGAGCTGGGTCAAATTGTGAGTCGAATCTATGGTACTGATTCCTTCCTCAGAACCAATTCAAATTTTTTTTTCAGATATCGTAGTTGATCTGTGATTATGCAAGGACACAAAGATTTCCACTTATACACAGTTTCCAATGATGCATTGGAAATTGGGCAAAAGTACTAAATCGACTGGGCACTTGTAAATGGTTCAGAGATCGTTTCTCTCCGGAATCAAAAGTGCGGAGTAACACTTGACTCGTTCAAAATTAATCCATACTCATATACAGTTTCCAATGGCGCATTGGAAATTGTGCAACAGTGCTCAATCGACTTAGCACTTCCTAGGGATTTCTCATTTGAAGTCTCTGTAATCCAAAGTGTTGATTTTTTTATGAGGGGGAATGCGTTTATGCACCATACCATAGCCCGAGCTACGGCGTGTGTGGGACTCCAGGTTGTCTTGATGAGACCATCTAATACCCACTAAACCATAACCTCCGCATGGCCCGACTCATCAGCGTCTCGGTAAGGACATGTGTTGTACGTGACCTGCGGTCTGCTACAACGTCGCCTCATGTGTTTCAGTCTCTGGGAACGCCGCGCCGGGTTGGTTCCCTTTACCTCGCACAGTTCTATCGATGTCGTTAAGCGAGCATCGATAGAGAGTTTGCTATGTTCTCTTGAAACTCTTGTTTTCGAAAAATCAAGAGTTTCAAGTCCTCTACTACTTGTTTGTTACCGGGTCCTGATGGGTCCTGGTCTTGGTTGGTCCTGGTCCTGATGGGTCCTAGTCCTGGTGGGTCCTGGTCCAAATGGTGCTAACTGTGCCTTGGGTCTAGGGTTCTTGGTTCTGCGGTTGCGAGGCCTCTCGTCCGGATCGTAGTCCATGAGGAGTCGTAGCTGCTCGTTCGGGTGGTCCTGAGCATTCTGGAAGGTCTTCTCCGCTTTTTCCTCATGTACTCGTGAATGGTGTCCCAATGCAGGTCTACGCAAGGTTGAGTTTCTTACGTAGGATGGTGCACTGGTGGCGATCCGGAGTATCTTCATCTCTAGAGCAGCAAGTCGCTTGCGGTAGCTGGGAGCAGCGTACCCCCAGACCGCGGAGGCGTAAGCGAGCTGAGGTCTGGCGATGGCCTTGATCAGCCGTAGCTTGGTCGCTAGCGGCATCCAGCTGTGTCTACCCAGTAATGGATAGAGTTGGGCCATGGCTGCTCTGGTCTTTGCGATGACAGCTTCTATGTGATCTTTCCAGGTGAGGGACTTGTCAAGTACGATCCCCAGATATTTGACTTTGTCGCTCCACTGGATATCTTCGTCGAAGATGGATGCTTCGAGAGGTCTTGGAATCCTTCTTCGTTGGATGAAGATTGCCTGAGTCTTCTGGACGTTGATGCGGATTTTCCATTTCACGCACCAGTCCTGGATGTGGTCCAGTTCATCCTGTAGTCTCCTACGGATGATCTCGGGTCGTCGATGTTTGGCGGCTATAGCAGTGTCGTCTGCATGTAGGGCCAGCATTGTGTCAGCTGTCTTCGGTACGTCGTGAGTGTAGATGTTGTAGAGCAGGGGGGCTAAGGCTGACCCCTGGGGCACGCCTGCTTCCAGCTGTCGTTTTGTTGAGTGGCATGTCACCGTGAACCATCTTTGTGTTAGATAGCTCTGGATCAGTTGGCACATGTTTGCATCGATTCCGGCCGCTTCCATTTTGGCGATGAGTCCATCGTGCCAAGCTCGGTCGAAGGCTCGTTCCACGTCCAGCAGAACGAGGCCGGTTGCCTCCCGGAGATTGAAGCCACTGGTGATGTTTTCTGTCAGTCGCATCGCTTGGAGTTCCGTGTTGTGGGAGGATCTGAAGCCGAATTGCTCTGGGGGGAGAAGTTCCAGATCTTCTACCTGCTTCTCTAGTCGAACGGCGATAGCCTTTTCGACTACTTTGCCCATCGAGGAAACTAGGCTGATGGGCCGGTAGTTCTGAGGCAACTTCCGGTCCTTGCCTGGCTTGGTGAGCATTATAACCTGGGCTTCCCGCAGGAAGTGGTTAAGTCTCAGATATCAATTTTTTTTCAGATATCGTAGATGATCTGTGATTATGCAAGGACACAAAGATTTCCACTTATACACAGTTTCCAATGATGCATGGGAAATTGGGCAAAAGTACTCAATCGACTGGGCACTTGTAAATGGTTCAGAGATCGTTTCTCTCCGGAATCAAAAGTGCGGAGTAATACTTGACTCGTTCAAAATTAATCCATACTCATACAGAATTTCCTATGGCGCATTGGAAATTGTGCAACAGTGCTCAATCGACTTAGTACTTCCGGAGGGTTTGGAGATCGTTTCTCATTTGCAGCCTTTGGTTGATGTAACAATTAATTCGTTTAAAATGGATCCACATTCATACACAATTTCCAATGGCGCATTGAAAATTGTGCAAAAGTGTTCAATCGACTTAGTACTTGAAAATGGTTAGGATATCGTTTCTCATTTGGAGCCTCTGGGGTCAAGTGTTAATGTAACACTTAATTCGTTCAAAATTGATCCATACTCATACACAGTTTCCAATGACACATTGGAGATCGAAACAATTAATTCAATCTGTCGACCTTCCCTGCCCGAAGTGTGAGATTCTCCAGAAGTACGACCCCGCAGTTATTCAGTAGGATCATTTATTTATTTATTGATTGATTCGTTCGGAAGCGACCCAGCTCTATTTGATGCATGTACGAATGCGGATTCGCAGTACTGCATCATGTAGTACTATCTAGAAATCTATGTGAGAACATCAGTAATCGCGGTGCAAGCAGATATAATGTCTCTGTTTAACTGGATTACATAGATGGTTATCTGGTTTATGACGCATCGCTACATGGTTCGAACACGTTGGTATTATTGCTTTCCGTAGTTATAAACATAAATTAGTTTACAGCAGAATATGTGCAACGAAGTTCAGGACGGCTCAGGCCGTCGTTGTACCCAGATGGCGGGTGGTACGGAACTAGAGATGCAGCAATTTTAGCTTTTATAGCTTATATGCCCTATTCAAATGACATTTACGCTGCGACGAAACAAACGACCGCACTAGTATTGAGCAGTAGGTTGTGCGCATGACGGTATGACAACTTAATAGGGTGTAATATAATATGCTTTGATTTTATCTGACACATCTGTCAACATGGCTACCGTGATGATATCCAAAGAAGATCGCGAAGCCTCGATAAGTGAAATTCAGTCATGGTCGCAGCCTGGAATGATGCCGATCCAAATAATAAAAACTATGGTTGTATAGACAGGATCTCTTTATCTAATGGGTGAATGATAGACTTACTTCATATTCTTGTTCTCCTCCGTCTTTAAAAATCATCGACGTGTTGACATCCTAATTCCGATTTGCTCTCTGTTCGGTTTGCAACCCCCAAATGGCACCCGACAACGCGAAAAGTATACATGTAACCCCTCTGGTTGTAACATATCCGTCATATTTAACTAGTTCTTCCCACAATGTCGACACAAGTATGCCTAAGGAATCAGTTTTGACTCCATCATTGACAATCTTCACGATAAATCCCCTTTGTGGATGACAGCACCTTGCGTGCAGGCATTAACATTTCCAAGCCGATCTTTGCTGTTGAGCTGTCAATAGCAAGAGGTTTTTAAGTGCTAATGATTTGACGGATAGCTGCGCTTGGCTAGGAACTGTAGGTTTCAGATAGTCTGCGCTGAGGTTGTCTGATAAGACCTTGGGTATTTCAAAAATCTGAAAACAAAATACGAGTATACTTTATCTGAAGTCACTTGAAATAGCATAAAAACCTTTGGTCGGCGCGTCCTTTGTAATTTCATGACGTATCATAGGCGTGCGGTCATTTATTTAGAACGATAATAATAATGTTTTTATATAACAATAAATGGATTTTACTATCTTCTTACTTTTTTGATTTGGGATAAAAAATACTTATATTGGGAGTTTAATTTATGTTGACTGAAAGTTAAGAAATGGAAAAATTACAGAAATCCAACGTTTGACATAGGCAAATATTTACATAGCAGGTAGGTATATAAAAAGGTATATAAAGACTTACATTATAGGTATTTATATATCATCCTCGCCTTCGGAGCTGTCGCTAGAGTCATCTTGTAGAGGAATTACAACGGGATTTACAGCAGGCAAAACACAATATTCATTTTCTTTTTCAATAATATGCCTAGAACACTGCTTCCATAGGTCTGTGGCAGCAATCTGAGATACTGCATCTCTTATTGTGGCCAATAGCGATTTACTTAATTGAGGGGTCTGATTATGTTTTCTTACTTTTTTTTAAAGCAGCCCAGACCAACTCAATCGGGTTAAAAATGCAGTAATAGGGAGGTAGACGTAATACTTCATGGCCATTTTGCTGAAGCAGATTGTCAACAACATACTCTTTTTCAAATTTTTGTCTTTTAATAAGATCCAATAATATGGCTTTGGTTGATTTTTGTGGTATTTCCATTCCCTTATCCTTCATAAAATCAATAATGTCTTGTTTTTTTGTGCCTGTATTCGGAATTTTGTTCTTCTGTCGGGAATGGTATGGCGCATTGTCCATAATAATCACTGAATTTGGGGAAATGTTTGGTATTAACTGCTGCTCTATCCACTTTTCAAATAAGTCGGAGGTCATGTCCTCCATGATAGTCGGCACATGATTCTTTGATATTTTTGGCAGATAACAGCAAGGCATTAGGTATAAATCCATTTTCACTGCCAGCATGGAGAATAATGATTCGTTTTCCACGGTTGCATGGTGCATTTAAAATACACTTGTTGCTGTCGTCAACCCAGCCGTACTGCACAACATCATGGGTATCATACCACATTTCATCCAGGTAAATCAGATTTCTTTTCTGCTCTCTATAGATTTTAACTTTGTGCAAAAATTCTTGGCGCAATTCAACGATTCGAGACGACTCCATAATCACCATTCTTTTATCTAATTTTTTGTATTGAAAACCACACAGTTTTACAATACAGTGCAGTGAGTCTAAGCATTTGTAATTATAAAAATCTTCAGGATAATCTTTTAATTTATCCCGTATCATTTCCAACGTGGGCACCAAATTTTCTTTATAAAATCCGTATATTATACGACGAATATCTTCCTGAAAACCCACGTCTATTCTTTTTAATTTTTGCCCTATGCGCTTTCTGTGGAAGGAATGGTTGACTACATCTCCCCTTTTTATAACCCGATAAATGGTAGACCGACTGATTTTTGTCAGGATACAAATTCTGTTTAAAATTTGATTTTGCGAGGAATCTGGATTTTCGTTTTTCAGACAATCATACATATTTAGGATTACTCTTTGGGTCTGTTCCTCTAAATCTTTATGAAATAATTCTGCCTGCACAGGTTCATCAACCATCTCCTCGTGGCTTGGAGCATTTTCCCAAGGTCTTCAAAGAGCCATATTTAGGACACACAAGAACAATCAACACAACAATTAAATCAACAAGTAAACTGAGTATTCAAAAGTCAAAAACACAAACCAGTAAAATCTATGAAAAAACACGGACAGACTAAAGAAAACACGTTTATTCACCGCTACACGGCACTGGCTAAACTGTTTCAATTTTCAGTAGCCACCTGCACTTGTTCGGAGCTCTGAAATACACGCTTTCTCATTGGCTATGTCCACGCATAGGCGTGCTTTACTCCACGTGGACCGGTGAAACTGCCTTTGATCTTATACGGGGGATATTTGCTGCGAAATTTGGCGATTTTTGCAACAACAGAGCGTGTTAAATATAGATATATAAAACGCATCCGGTATTTCACAGTGTTTCAAGTGACTTCAGATAAAGTATACCTTGTTCGCGATTCGTAATGTTGGTCGCTGAGTCGTAACAGCGTTGCCACGTTCAGTTACCGATATTGCAATTGTTCCATCTAAGATTGGAAGGTTCTTGCGGTGGAAAAATTGGGTATGTACTGAATTAAAAAAAATGTCGAAACATGGAAAACATGGCAAATCATGTACTGCAGATAAACTAAATGAAATCGGTTGACGACGCAGCTGTTTATACGAGTATATCAGCCTGGCATCGGGGTCAAAAGCTCCCCCTTTATTACGCACTATCCCATCTCCCATCAGTTGGAGTTTTCCCTTCCTCGGAGTTGGGTACAAGTAGCACAGGCACAATAGGCCAAACCCTCATTCTTGGATGTTCACTATAGGAAATATAGAGTTAACTTACATGAACCTTGACTCAGAATTAGTATTGTCAACCAGTAAACTTCGCCAGCAATATGAGCCACTCTAATTTCGTGGTTTTTGGATATGACATCTACATCACGAAAAACCATGTCATTCATTCCATTCCGTATATCTGTATGTGCGCTAATCCTTGACCCGTCTATATCTTTCTTTTCACACAAGATTACTACTATGCCAAGGACCAAAAAGCTGAAATTGCTGATAAAACAGATGATGGAAATCAAAAGCAAATAGATATTTGTAACATAACCTCAAAATAGAGCTATGAAAATCAAAGATGCCATAAAGGCGTCCTACAATTTATTGTAGAAACGACTGACGGTACGGTCCTTACACTTATCTGTCGCTAACTTAAAACACAGCCGACGTCAACTACGAGCCGTGATGAAAGAAAGGCAACACCGCGCTCGGACGGCATGGTAGTGCTACCCTTGAACGTCGGTTTTACTGTTATTTTTCAATTTTACATAATCATTCAAAATTACGTTTGAAAAAATAGACAAAAGCTTAGATAAAATATCTGCATAATTGCGGCCACAGATGCAAGTTAAAGAAAATTCACTGTATATAAAGTCAGACTGAATGCTGAGCAAGGTTAACTGACACAAAATAAATTTTTGATTATTGCTTTTCAAGAAGAAAATTTCCAATCTATCTACATTACTAATAGATTCAAAAATGGCATACATATGGTAGAATATGATTGGTACATAACTGGTTGGAATTGACAGTCCTCCTCTTTGCAAATGATCAAAATAAACATTTGTTGTTAATGAACCTTTTTCTTTTTTGCATATTTTGCATTTGCATATCTCGCAGTTTAGATTTTTAGAGATAGCGTGTGAAGCATATCCAGATATATAAGTCTTAGTACTATCCTCTATGTCACAATTGGCTAAGTAATTTGTCTCAAATACTTCATTGAATATATCCAAAACTTCAGGATTTTGTTTGTTATCCAAGAAATCAAAAGTTGAAACATAGCTTTCTGTTTTCAAAGCAGAATTATAGTTTGCATTGCATAAAGGAACACAGCAACAACGAGGCATATTGTCTGCGTCAAATACTTGATAACTGAAAAAAGAAAAATACAACCTGAATTTGCACGTTTTCAATAGTTGAAATCCTTAGCGTCCTGAGGCGCGAACAGCCACAGTCACACTTCTTAGTTTATTTTTAAAGCACAGAAGCACTACAACTAGAGTCTATTTCTCATATATTATAGTCACCGATCACTTTGAACACATACACACACTTTGAAGCTTAGAAAACAAGCTTATCTCTTAATTACAGCCTCTGGGATTCCAAAATCGCAAATTGAAAAGGTTATGTTTTCTCAGCGTTTTGAGCACGAGTTGCGTCGATGCAGCAAGCAGCGGCGGAAGTAACACTACCACCTACGTTGCCAGATTTCTTTGTTCACGGCTCGTAGTTGACGTCGGCTGTGCTTAAAACATCATTTTTTAGTAACAACGCACTGCTGGGTTGGCGAGTGGGCCGAAGTTAGTCATAGCAACGTTGCTGTGTTGCCAGATAGTCGCTACAGTCGGTAGGACAGGGAAAAATTTCCAGGTCGCGGTCTTCTCAAATTTGTGAGTCTATGAGCCAGTTGTATGAATCTATTTGAGTTGATCTGTTCAATTCTTTTATTATACATGTTCGTAGCTAACGTTTTTCTGAGAAAGTCTAGCTTGTGCCGGACAAAATACTTTATGAACTGATGACGTTGTATGTCAACCTACTTATCGCCATTATTTCGATCTAGTTTGTCTGGACTATACAAGGGAGATGCAGGGCACATCGCCGACAAACTGCGTAGTTTCCATTTGATCAGCTGAGCGCGGAGGGAGTTGGGGGAGTTTTCCCTGAGCTCGCTTTCCGTGGTCGCCGGGAGTTTTTCAACAGGGTGGCTCCGTTCATTCACGAAAATGGGACACAGAGGGTGTATAGAGATAAGCAAAACAAACATTTATACTTTGTACAGTGTTCGGATACTTCTTATCATTCAGTTGATTCTTCTTTAGTCAAGCAATTGCTTTCATGATTATGTGACTAGAAACCTGGCGGTTATCACTGCTTGGGGAGGCAACAATCTGGTATACGAGGGATGTCTTAAGTTTTGCATATGGAAATAAAACAACACGGTAGCTGGTTTTAAATGACTTTATTGTTTTTCGAAATATTCTCTACGAAGATTAATATACATCTGCATGCGCTCGAACCAAAAACACACAGTCTGTTTTCAATTTTCGGGAAAGTAAAGAAATCGTTAGGACTTAGATCGAGACTATCTGGAAGATGGTCCAATAATGCCACGTTTTCTTCCGTCAAATACTGCGTTGTTTTTTGGGCTGTGTGCGAGCTTGCATTGTCTTGGTGGAGGATGATTCTTCTTTCGGGGTTGATTTGTTGAAGCTCGGTGATGACCTTTGGCAAACAAATGGTGGTATACCAATCCGCAGCAACAGTTATTTGCTTATTAAGAGGAATTGTTGCAATATGACCCGCTTTTGACACAAATGTCGCGACCATCTTTTTCGAAACACTTCTTCAACGGATGACTTTTGTTGGGTTTTCTTCACCTTGGAACACCCAAACAGCCGACTGTCGTTTATTTTCTGGTTCATAACAAGCAGCAGCAGCGCAACAAAACATCGACATCCGTGAAATAAAAATGTCTGATCATAAAAACTACCTCATAAACCGTATACAGCGACACTGGCAAATTACATGGGGTAACACTGATACCCACTTAAGACAGATAAAACCTAGTGTAGGATCATGGCCACATCCTATCAGACTGCCACGAGAGGAATGGGTGCGCATGCATCGCTTACGCTTTGGCCACACACGTCTTACACATGCACATCTTTTGCTCGGAACAGATCCGCCCTTGTGCACTGGATGTAACTCTTCACTCACTGTACGCCACATTATCTGCACATGTCCGATATTGTCCCAATATCGAGTCATCTATGGACCATTTGATAACCTGACAGAGAGTCTCACACAACCAGAAAAACTGAAAAACGTCATATCATTCTTAAAAGTATCTGGCTTCTATTGGAAGATCTGACCTAATGAACTTTTTGGAAATGAACCATTTTAATTTTTGTGTATCTTATTCTCAACTGAGATTAAATGAATGTTATGTAACGATGATTTTGCATCATACCTACCTTAGCTTAGTATTGTCATCTTGAACTAAAAGAAATATGTGCAATAGAATTTGGATAAATCGAAATACTTACGTGAACGCAAACAAGATCGTGAAATGCAGATAATGACCACAAAAAAAAATAATATTAATGAATATATGCCTATATCCACGTTTGAATTCTCCATTCCAACGGGAAATTGTCAACTGATGTGGCGCTTCGTTGCCGAAAATAGACAGTAACTCAGCAAGCCATTCTTGTTGCGATAATTGTCTCTAAAAGTTGTAATAAATTATGGCGCCAAAATGTTCTCGGTTGAATTCCATTTTTCTAATGACTTGGCGACACTTAAAAATTCACTGTAGTGAGAACACTGCACGTATTGTAGTGCAACTTTGAATTTAAGTTTACTAAAGAGTGAGGTTAAGATTCAGTACTGACGTTCGATCCGCGCGGCCTACTATGTTTCTATATGCAAAACTTAACGACATCCCTCGTAATGCTTCCAAAACACAGTTCTGTACTTTGACTAAAAAAAGCGCTGTAGCGTTCATCCGGTTTCGATGGATGGTCGCGTTATACCAAAAAGCCGTTGATTTCGGCTGGTCGGACTTGATCTGGCACGTCAATAGGGGGCAGCTGCTGGCTTTTTGGTCAGGGCTTTCCTCCACAGAACCTCCTCACTCTGTACAAGGTCCAGATAAGACCTAGCTTCGAGTACTGCTCACATGTTTGGGGTGCTGCCGCCCCGACTACATTACCAATGCGTGACTGATTAATGACTTTTCTCTAACGGGCAGTGTCAAGGACACTTTTGCACCGGCGATCTAGCCCTCTCAGAACCGCTTGATTTGAACAGTTCATGAACCTTTCTTTACGAACTCAAAAAAAAAATCAAGATACACTTTTCAAGCAGAGATATTAGGCCTTTGAGAAATCGACTTCTTAAGAAAAAAAATATTTTCTTGCCCAACAGCAAAGTTTCTTAGAAAGGGGGAGTTTGCTTACGATAACTAGATGTCACAACTGATTGATCGCTGTAGCATTACGAAAACACAATTGATGAGTTCCTTCAAGTGACTATAGGGGAATTTCATATTTTCCGATGTAAAGCAAGCTTTATAGTAGTACCATCTTTGTTTCACACTGTTCGTCTCATGTATATAGAGTTATTTTTGTATTTTCTGTCCCAAGATTTTATCACGAAATCCAACCCAGATTGCTTTGTACGTAACAGGAATTTTAAGGAGTTTACAGAATGTTGATATACCTGATTCAATGTGTTGCTCGAGCAGTCTGGGATAAGAAAAGTCTTGTAATATGGGGTGGTGTTAAATAAGGAGAATAAATTACGAATTTCTGTTATTGGTTTTATAGTTGTAATTCAACATGCAATAAAGGCGCGACAGTGGAATATTGTTAAATAAGAAAACTACGATTCCCTACTCAATCAAAATACCAAAGGCATTATGATTGAGAAGGGAAGAACTATGAAGCGTGGTTGGATTTCTGACCGGTTACTGCTTCTTCAGACCATACATGGATAGACCATGGTTACAAGTAAGACTATACATAATACATTACAACGCATGTTATTTCCCACTGTTTTATACTAAGTAAAATAAGAGTTATGTCCCAAGTAAACCAATAATCGATCAACCATAGCCCAAGCAAAGTTCATTAGGAACCAATAACTAAAAGGTGATTTTTTCGAGGTTTTACTTTAAGTTGGCATTACTTCTGAAGATGGCGACTGATTTGACAGTTGTCAAGTGATTTATTCTCAGTTTGGTTTGGCAATTCATCATGAATAGACTCACGCCTGTACAACGCTTGCAAATTGTCGGTTTTATTTCGAAAATAATGGTTCTGTGATTAACCATAGAACGTTTTCGCACCACGTTTACTCTAATTGATAACTCGCAACCCCAGAGACGCCGTACGGTACGTACAGAAGAAGCTATTGCTACTGTAGAGCGTAGCAGGAATTGGGTCTGTGTCCATCCACTTTATGGAAGATTTTGCGGAAGGATCTTGGTTTGCGTCCTTACAAAATCCAACTTGTGCAAGAATTGAAGCCAAACGATCATCAAGCAAGGCGTAGACTCGTTGAATGGGCCCAAAACGAGAATGCCGTTGTTCCTGATTTTCATAAGCGAATTTTGTTTAGCGATGAAGCGCACTTCTGGTTGAATATCTACGTCAACAAACAAAACTGCCCCATTTGGAGTGAAGCTAATCCTCAAGTCTATGTCGAAACACCGTTACATCCGGAAAAACTGACTGTTTGGTGCGCTTTATGGGCTGGTGGAATCATTGGTCCGTACTTCTTCAAAAACGATGATGGCCAGAACGTTATAGTCAATGGTGATCGGTATAGAGCCATGATTACTAACTTTTTCATTCCTGAACTGAACAATCATGATGTCCAGGAGCTGTGGTTCCAACAAGACGGCGCACAGCTCGTGCTACAATCGATTTATTGATAGGCACGTTTGGTGACCGCCTAATTTCACGTTTCGGACCTGTGAATTGACCTCCAAGATCTTGTGATTTAACACCGCTAGTCTATTTTCTCTGGGGCTATGTAAAGTCATTGGTCTATGCTGATATATATTGACGGCTGCTGTACTTAAAAACTGCGCTTCAGCATTGGCCCTACCATTAAGCTTGATATTCACATCGTCTTTTAGATCTCATACCCTACCCTCATGCTGGCTTAGTGCTTCTGTTACCCCTGTATTCAAAAAGGGCGACAAATCCTCCGCTAAAAATTATCGACCAATAAGTCTCGTTCCTATCGCCGCCAAAATAGCTGAAAGAATCATATTAGATAAGCTCCTGTCATTTCCTTTCGAAAATGACCTTATCCCTAAGAATCAGCATGGATTTCTCCCTGGTCGATCAATAATGACCAACCTTCTCCACTCTCTCAACGATTGGACTCAGTATCTGGACACAAAGACTCCTGTTGATATAATCTACTTAGATTTTTCTAGGGCTTTCGATCGCGTACCACATAGAAGGCTTCTGTTTAAGTTGGAATGTATGGGAATAAGAGGCGAGTTGTTACTGTGGATTAAGGCTTTTCTCACCGGGAGGACTTTCTCTGTACGCGTCAGTGATAGCCAGTCTCACCTTCATCATGTAGCAAGTGGAGTTCCTCAAGGCCCTGTCTTGGGGCCAGTGCTGTTCCTTCTGTATACAAGTGACCTGCCCGCATTGATTTCCTCCACATGTTCAGCTTATGCCGACGACACCAAGATTTACAATACTGTCGTAAATTCTGCTATGCTTCAACGAGATCTTGATATTGTTTGTCAATGGTCAGTCAGTTGGCTTTTACCCTTAAATCTAACTAAGTGTTGTGTCCTTCACCTCGGGAAGACAAATCAGCGATTTACATACAAGATCTCTGACCACAACATCGAAGCAGTTTCCAGCCACACTGATCTGGGCGTTGTAGTCAACGATCGTCTTTCCTGGTCAGAGCATATTCACCACGTTACATCAAAAGCCAAGAAACTTCTATACATGCTGGAGAGGTCTTTCAAAGGATCCGATGTCAACACTTGCGCCTACATTTACAAGGCATTCGTGAGACCAATTCTTGAATTCGCTGGCCCGGTATGGGACACTGTGCTTCTGCGCGATAGAAATCTCGTCGAATCAGTACAGCCTCGAGCTACTCGTATCCCTTTTGGAGCACGAAGACCAAACTATGAACATCGCGTTGAATTATTCAACCTGACCTCATTCTCTGAGCGAAGACTTCGTGGCGATCTTATAGTTACGTTCAGTATACTTCATGGTTTGATGGGCACCAACCTCATGCATCTATACCGTCTGTCGCGCAGCAATCTACGCGGACACAGCTTCAAACTGCATAAGGAGCCATTTAAAACAACAGTCCGACAGTCGTTTCTTCCCAACCGCATATTCAACACCTGGAATAGTTTACTTGAAGGTGTGGTTGGTGCTACTTCAGTTAATAGCTTCAAAGTGCAGTATGATAGCTGGAGGAGTGTACAAACTTTATAGCTATGAACTGTCTTTTTTTATTTTTTTTCTATTTGATGTATTTGTGTTACGTGTCCGTACACTATATTTACTGCATGAGCTTATAGTACTGTGTACTCTGCTCATCTCAATTATCATAATAATAATAATAATAATAATAAACGCTTGACCATTTTGAAGACAACATTCGCCATGTTATTGCCGATTCACACAAATGTTGGAGAAAGTCACCGAAAATTGAACGTCCAGATTGGACTACATCCGAGCCAGCCGTGGCAGTCATATGCTAGAAATCATATTTAAAATGTAATGCAACAAGATTATTTTTCGAATAAAAAAAATTCATGTCAATCG